AAAGTCCTTAGTAAATCCAGATTAGAACTGGTCTGATAAATGCTGAGCTGGGTGTGTGTGAACATGGGTTGATTAACATTTGAAGCACAGATTCCCCATCATGCAGTGCTCTCCTGCTTCTCTGGTCCCAGAATTCACTGCAGTCTCTGCTTCAGGCTTTCTGTTTTCCATCTCTCATGTAAATGAGACCTAGGGCAGTTGATTCACTCTTGTCACCCTTATCTGGTGAGGGTCTTAGGTGCGTCTCTCACTGCATCTTAATCAGTTTCGTTTAGGTAGAGGAGGGGAGGGAGGGGTGAGTCCTTTGTGAGTCAGACAGACTGCATCCTGTGCCCCGATTGCGCAAGAATACAGAGCTGAGACGTAACAGAATGCACTGTAATTATAGCACATCAGAGCAGACCTGATTAATTAAGTCTACTGGAGCATGGTATTTACTGCGCTCCAGCAGACTCCAGTGTCTCATGTATCAGCATCCCTGCGCTGAAATATGGTGACGGGAGCACCTTAATTAAAGCTTGCTTGATGTGCTTTAGTTAAAGTGCCTCCACTGCCATTTTTCAGTGCAGGGAGGCTGATACACAAGAGGCTCTGGTGCTCTAATCAGAGCGACGCTCAGAGTCCCCCTCTACTCTCAGAGCCCCCCACTCACTCCAGGCACTTTCATTCAAGCACCCCCACACACACTCCCAAAGCATGTGTATAAATGCCACATTATGCTATTTAGTTTGAGATATTTGCACACGTATTATACATGCTGCTCCGAAGTTGGTGGGACCAGGGAAGCTGGAAATTTTAACAGCAGTGAAAGAAACATTTGGAATTTTTGGTATGTGGGGAAGCACTTTGGGTGCCTGTACATGTGCAGCAAGGCTACTCCAACTCTCGGAGCCACTCTAATTAAAGTGCCACCCCTGCCCTCCCCACATGTTTAAATGCCTTTTGGGATTGTGGGATAAGCAATAAGTTGGATGTTTCTGCTAGATGGATCAGTGATATATCTAACAAGGTTGGTATTCTAAATTGCCATCATTACTTCATCAATTTATACTTGTTCATATTTAGAAGGCGTTCTTCAATCATAAAGATTTGAAATTCTTCCCTTTTTTTGGGTGAAATCTAACTTCCTAAAACAAAATTCTGTGGCAAGTGTCCCGAGTCTGTCTTTGGTTAGAGACATCTTAGTGTTTTGACTCACTTTTTATGTAACTACAGAAAGAAAGCTTCCTGTATCTCTTTTTTATTGAACATTTGTTTCCATCTAGTGATCTGTTTTACTGTGTTTACTTTATGGCCTGCAGCTAAGGCATGTTTTTTTAGCTGGGCACTGGGTGAAGTTTTGCTGATGTTCACCATGTGGTGATTTACTCTTGCATTGGAGGTTTGAGGGGGGTGTATTTTCACTAACATTTACTTTTGCAGTTTCTCTATGTGATTTTTTTTGTTGATGTAGGTTTATGTTTGCTAGCATGAAGCTTTGCAGTGAAGCTTTGCTAGCATTTGTTTACTAATTTGCTCAGTGAATCATATGGTAAGCATGCACTACAGTCCTGCTCTTTTTCTTCTGGTGGTTGACTCGCTTGCAGGTTTCAGAACCCTTTTTTTATATATCTGTTGTGTACATTTGAATTAGGCTCTTTACAAGTCTGAGATTTAAAACACTGTTTTTGTTAAAAGTTTCCTAAGCAGGCTAGACAGTGGCTAAGTGTTTATAAAATGTTCTAAGAAGCTTGCGCAAAAGCTTAGATTTAACTTAATTTTATTCAGTGTCATAGCTTGAACTTTGCTGCTTTATTAAGTTTGGTTAATGGTGAGCGTTGCTAAGTATTGATATAAACTGCATGTTTTATTAAATTTGTTACTTTGCTGGAGACCTGTTTTGAATCTAATTGTTACTTAGGCTTACAAGGCTGCATCTATCCTGGCAGATGGGGGTGAAGGGTCTTTTTGGTAGCAACGTGTAGTAGGATGGATAAATGGACACCCAGATGTTTTTACCACTACATCTAATGGCCCTCAAGTGTATATTCTCAAGTACTAATAAATTAATTAGACTCTTTTAGAACTTTATTATAAAAATATTAAAAGCAAAAAGGTGAAAAGTATACACAAAGGGCTGGGCATGAAAGCATTCATAGCCAGTCTTGCATCATAACCAGAAGATTGAAACCCCCACCCCTCTTCCCCAACACCCTTTGTGGCAGGCCAGTAGGGAGTGCTCCTGCGTTGATCCATCCACTTCACTGCACCCGACCACCTTCCAGGCTCCGAGTGCCTCCCTGGGGGCGCCGCACGTCTGGCCAACCCCCTTCCTGGAGCACAACCACTAGCCTGGGGGTTCCACTGCTACCACCCAGGACTGGGCTTGATTCTGGCTCTGTGCACCCTGGGAAACACAGGTCTAGTAGCCCTCGAGCGTACTTGATTCACTTCAAGAACTTGGGATGCTTCCCTCAGTCAGAAGCACAAGTAGTGGTCTCCCTTAGTCAGCCAAACCAAGGGGACCCCAAGGCATAATCTAGACCCACTCTCAATAAATCTCCCCCAGTAGGTACAAAGGAAAACTTTATTGGTTACAAGGGGTAGGGTTGGAATAGGGTACAGGGTAGAGCAATATCAGAGAAATCCCATAGAGCAAACTGGCATGGCTAGGTAGCCTTTGATCACGCATCTGAGTTACTGCAAGCTATATATCTAGTTAGATCTCAGGCAGCTTACTCACAAATATCATCCAGAGGCAGGTGGAGATTCCCTCTGGAGGCAGGCAGTTCCTTGATCATGAGTTTTGAGAGACAGCAAGTTTCAGATGGTTCAGCTCTTCTCTCTCTCTCTCTGAGTCTTCCTCATGGCTGCTGCCCCCTCCTCCTGAGCAGTCCTTAACTTATCTAGCCCTTGTGAGCTCATTTACCTGATCCAACGGAGGCCAGAACCTGTTGGCTGTGAGCCAACCAATTTGAAATGCATCACTAGTTGCTGGGCAGACTGGCAGTTCCTGGCTCCTCAGGGAGCAAGCCTCTCACCCAGGTATGTGATACCAGTCACGTAGGCAGAGGGAGTAGGTTTCCCCCCTTCCTCAGGAATGTATCCAGCTCAGGTTAACTAAAGAGATAGGGTAAGTGTGTATCCTCTGCTGGGCCCATCCTAACCAAATTGTCACAGCAGAGTTTATGGGGAGAAATAGAGGTGGCCTTCTGCCACACCCTTCACCTGTTCACACTTTTTTGAACTAGCTAACCATCTGTCACCTTACCGAGAACACCCCATTGGTGTCCTAGCATGACACAAATCTATCTATGTTCTGTTGCGTGGTGATGTGCCCTGCTCAAAGGAGAGGCATACCCAGACCTGGAACTGAAAGCATTAGAGGGCATCATCAGAGCCAGTCCCTGGAAGTTGGTTCCTCCATCTCTGTATAGGGTCACTGTTTTGGTCTGGTCCAACAGGAAATTGGCTAGGCAAATCGTGTTTCCCTTGGCTGCCCAGTACAGGGCAAAAATATGCACATGGTTTCAGACAGATCCAAGTACAGCATGCCAAAGTGTTGAGGGAAGCAAAGAGTGGCTGCAGCTGGGGGCAGTTAAAAAAACAGTGGAAGCATTCTCACTTCGAGTGTCACTGGGTCTAAGTGATGGACAAAGGTGCTACTAGCTGGGGCCCATGTAGCGGTCTCCACTGGAGGTAGCCAGCCCTTTTGGCAAAGGGTATCTTATACACAGTCATTCAGTCCAGGGAGGTCTGCTTTGGCACTGCTGTCACCAGGCACCATTTCCAAGTTATATCCAGACAGTTCGTGAGGACATGGGCTTGGCCCACCTGGATCAACCATGTATACAGAACTTTTTTAGATAGGATCTCAAACCGGATCCCACCCCCACTCTCATTCACCACAGGGAGGGATCTGCTTTTGTTGCCACCTACAGCTTGGGTAACAGGGAGTAGTTGAGGTGGTGTGTCCAGTGAGCTGCATTGGCAAGGATGCATTGTGTGGAGGTGATCTTTCAGGGCAGCAACAGCATCTCTAGGGAAAGCAGCCTTCGTTTCAGCTAAAAGGCATGAAACAAACTGGACAGAGTGCAGCCTTGGTTTTGGGTTGGTGTTAGCTGGGAGCCAGATCGAGGTGGACCAACTTGATGGTGTGTGATGACTGCACCAAGGAGGCGATGAGGCTTGGTGCTCTCCACCACAAGGTCAGGTTATGAACTAGCGACTCCTGCATCAGCCCTGGAAATCGTAGGCACTAGGTAGATAGCTGATCTACTATACGAATTGCTATGAGGTGGACATATCTTTTGTTTGGCCTAAATTTTGTCAAGCTGATGTTTAAAATTAGGAAAATTAGCTGGTTTTGGGGGTTACCTGCATCTGGTAGTGTTGGCCTGATTTTCAAAATCTCAGAGAACCCAGCAATTCCTGTTGTAAATACAAAGCCCTGACCTTTATTTATATCTTTTAAATGAAAGCATTTGGGTCGGTCCCATTTCTGCAGCTAGTTCCCTGTGGCTGTGCAATTGTCCTGGCTCTGTGTTGATTACAGCATTGTGGTTTTATTTAGGTGGCTGGTATTTTGAAATGAGCAGATTACTGTAGAATACTAATTGTGATTTTCCCCCCACCCTCTGTTTTTTGCAGAATGACAGGCAGAGAATTTTTCTCTCGTTTTCCAACTCTTTATCCTTTCCTTCTCAAGCAACTGGAAATTGTAGCTGTCTCTGGGGACAGGTAAGATGATTGTACTTAAAGTTCTGCTACATATGGTGGGACATAAAATGCAGACACACAAATTTAAATGCACCCTTTAAACCAGTATTGTCAAACATATGGCCCATGGGCTGGATCCAATTTGTGGAAATGCTCTGTCCAGCCCACTGGGCTAATAGCAGGCAACAGGAAGTTGGGGACATGGTCAGGAGGGAGTGGCCTGTTGCAGAATGCAGAGTTTTTGGGCCCTAGTGACTGACCATTGGTGATTGATAGCAGTAGTGCAAGTGAGGGCATATACAGCCACAATTGCTTGTCTCAGATGCTTGCCCTGTCTCCTCTGCCTCCGGCCCTGGTGCATGCCATGGCCTATCTGCATCAGGTAGTGGAGGTAGAGCCATGGCTGCAGCTGCCAGCATGTGCACTGTGGTGGAGCCACCCCATGCCTCAGGCTGAATCCAGCCTACATGGAACCCTGTGGTCCAGATCTATCTTGAGGCATAAGGCAAGTCTGACACCCCTGGTTTAAACTGCCACCTCTTTCTCTCTGTAAGTGTTTTGAGAACTATATGCTGTTGAAGCCTAAATATAGACTTATAGAATTTAAGCTCCTGTATTTGGAAATTTTGACCTGTATCTATGCAGTGATTATCTCATTTTGCCCCAATCTTGATTTGAGATCTCTGGGTGCTATCATGAGAAAGATAATCTGTGTAGCATGGGTGATATAATCATTTCCAAAATAAAACCCACAGTTCACCCCCTCATTTCTTGTCCATCTGAAGAAGGGCTAATACATGACTAATTTTGGTCCCAACCTTCCATGCAACTTTGATTGGACTTTCTGGATTACTCAATTAACTGCACAGTGTTTGTTATGTTATTTTTTAAAATAAGCATGTAAAATAATGTATAGTCAATAGTTTGACTAATATTTTCTTATCGTTGTCTTGCTATCTCTCCAACTGAATTTTATTTTCCAAAAGTAAATGTGTATAAAAGTGGATTTAATTGATTCACTGTCTCATGTATGTATTGGAAATAAAATAACCTCTCTCATCTGTGGAGGACTTTACACTTAAAGGTTGAAAGGCTTTATTTTATGTATAGCATAGTAGCAGTAGGGTGTAGTATACCTACATATTATTTGCAGTATTTCCTGGTATGCCATGAGGGATTAACTGTCAAAGCAGATATGTCGTAAGAACATTAATTTTAATCAGATACCTCTTGTAATTTTTAATTTAGTGAAAGTGGCGAATGTAAGCTCCATCCAAGTTTATTCCTTTTGCTTTTGATCCTGGGTAAGCTGTATCCATCTCCAATGGATGGCACTTATTCAGCGCTCAGTATGGCACCTTTTGTTCCTTTCATTATGAGGTAAGGTATCTGTTTCTATAAGCTTTTTTATGTTTTCTGGTGATTTTTCATGTAAAAGGAATCTTCTTTCAAGACTAGTTCTTCAGTTTATTTTGTGCTTTGCAGCATTCAGTCACCTGATAAACAGCTTATTAAGTACTATGTAATTTTATTTATATTGGAGGGAAAAACCCTTTTCTTTTAACATATAATTAACATAACATATTAACTTGATCAAACTTTTTTATCTCATACTAATTCATCTTTTATATGCAAAGATCATAAAAAAAAATCTGGTTTACAGCATGACGAAAGTATGTGGTTAGCTGTATTGTGTATATGTGTGGATTTTTTAAAAACTTACATCTAAAGATGATATATAGTCACTGTTTGAGACCATATACAGACATTCAGTTATTCAGTTTCTCCTAGGAGAATCTTTGCTCTCCCAGGCAAAATCATGAATGTGCAGATGTGTAGGATTTTAGTCCCAGAGGAAAAAATGGCTGCTCCAGGAGAAAAATAACCTGGGAACAGCCAGGATTAAAACATTAATCTTTCCCAGGAGAGTTTCTTGTGGGAGAGACAATGCCTATACATGCCATGGTTTCTCCCAGAAGAGAATGTAGTCCTCCAGCAACCTGGCAGCACTGCATGATCTCTACTCTTCTGGGCCTCAGTATTTAAGTGTCTGTACACACAGCTCTGGGTAATTTTTTCTACCAGAAGAACAAAGTTGGGAGAAGTCTCCCAGATTATTTGATTATTTGAATCACAGGTGTGCAGTCTGAGATACCATACTAAAGTATGTGGTATGTGGTGGGTGCATCTACACATGTGCTTTACTGCTCCACAGTAAAGCATCAACCATATTAGGGCACAGTAAAGTAACTCTACTGTAGGCTAGTACTGTCCCAGACAAGTACTATCCTACAGTGGAGTAGCTACATGGGCCGAAATGCTCATGTAGACAGTGACCGGGGCTGGCTGGGGCACAAGGGTGCTACAGTGTGGGGGGGCTACCTGCTGGCTAGTCCCACAGTGTAACACTCTCGTGCCCCAACCAGTCTCTCTGGCATGTTGAGCGAGGGCAGAGCAGCCCCAAGCTACCAGGCTGATTTGCTGGGCTTCCTGCCAGCCAGAGCTGCTCAGCCCTGGTTCAGGGTGCTGTGGTTCTATACATCTATTTAAATGCTGCATTTGGGAGAAATAAACTCCAGCATGAATCATGCCAGAGTGTATTGCTACGTGCTAATTGCACATCTAGATGCACCTGGTGTGACTTAACTGATCAAGACCCTTATCCTAGTAAGGCAATTGTATGTTGCTGAGCTTTGAGAAGTGTTTAGCTACTGCAGAAAACTTAGTTCAGAGTGAACTTAGAAGCCCATTTAAAATACACATTTATGGTGATGTTGCTTTTAATCCACTGTCGGCATGTCTACATGAGATGTCTTACTGCACGGTAGACTAATCTGTGCAGTAAGGCATCACCAGGTAACCTTTGCAGCAGCCACTGTGCACTAAATTAGGTTAATGTGTGGTTTTCTACCTCTTGTAAATACATGTAGTAGATTAACTACGCATTAGGTACTGCACAATACTGCTTATGTAGACACTGACTGGGAGCAAATACTGTTCCCAGTTAGCCACACGGAATGGGGAAGTTCTCTGTCCCCGGTCCTGGTGCTGCTTAGCTCCCCCAAGGAGCCAGAAGCTGATCAATGCTGGGATGATGTCACTCTGAGCTCACCCATCCTGGCTCTGTGCATCTCCCGGCTCCCCACAGGAGCAGGGAGCTCAGCAGTGCTGGGACTGGGGAGCTATCTGATTCCCTGCTCAGCCAAGGGCTTGCCAGAAGCTGCCAGCAAGCCCCCACGCTGTGCAGGGATTGCCCACCCAGCACGGGGTTGGCCAGGAGCTATCCCGCTTGTGGGGCAGGTGGCAGCAGCCCCCGGCAGGACCTGGCTGGGAGCTGTACCACTTGGGAATCCCTGTCCTGCCAGGAGCTTGCTGACAGCTGCCTCATAAATGGGACAATTCCTGGCCAGCCCCCTGCTGGACAACAGATCCCTGCTGGGCACCAGATTCGCTGGCAGCTGTCTATCCTGATGTGCACAGGACCCAGAGAGCTCTGTCAGATTCAGCAGCCGTTGATTCCCAGCCTCATGCACATCAAGACCCCTCCTGATGTGCATGGGATGAGGAGACAGCTGTTACTGCAACTGGCAGAGGTCTCCTGGCCCCATGAGTATCAGGAGCAGCCCCTGTGTTCCCTGCCAACCCCCTGGCTAGCATCCTGAGGGAGCCTGGGGCTCCCCTTGGTTGCTGCAGGGGAGCAGAGCAGGGCAGGAGCAGCCCTGTACCAACTCCTGTTTGTAGCAGATTTGTTCCCAACAGGGTGCACATGTAAACGTGCTTCAGGGAAGGCTTACTACTGCTTAGTAGGCCTGTGCTGCATTAATTGCACATGTTGACAGGTTCACTGTCTGGTGTTGGTAAAATAACACTAAAAGATAATTTGCTTCTATATGGGGATTAAATTAAGATTTTCAAACCAGCTTTTTTGCTCCCAGGTCATGAGTTCTGGGTAGGTAGGATAGCAGAGGGAGAGAATGAGGTGGGGGAATAAGCATGAAAAGTTTGAAAGCTAAGAGAAGAGGCTTAGATGTCTTTCCAGATATGGGAAGATAGATTTTTGCTGTTCAAAATAGCACCAATTAAGACTGGAAACTTCATCATTAGTTCTGTTTTTAGAGTATTTAAATCAGTGCAGATTTGTTTCTTTATCAAGACCTTGTGATTATTACTTAATCTTCTATTTATGGTGGCAAATAATAGTCTATATAATTTATCTTTCAAAGCAGAAGTGGCCTAGAGGTATAGTGTATGTGTATCTTACAGTGTCCCTTGTTTTTTGTAGGAATTAGATAATGTACCATCTGCTGTTTCTGTAAGCAAACTGTAGTAACAGTATTTAAAATATAAGCTATTTTAACTGTACTCATAATAGTTGCTGCTGTACTTGAACTTCTTGAACATTTTTCTCTGAGCCATCTAATATTACCCTTATCAATTAAATATATCCAATGGTCTGTTATTTTGTCTTTATACAATATACTAGCTAATTACCCATCAGGAATGACGGTGGGGGAGGAGGCTTGGGTGGAGTGCCATGACCTAACATCCCATGCTGCCGCTGTTTTGCCTCTTGCAGAGAGCAGGTCCCCTTATCTGGTCCTCCACATGGCTTCACAATCATAGCGGCTCTCCCCCATCTTGGAGCACTCTGATTGGCTGTTTCTGTCAGCCAGTCAGAGCATGAATAAAGCGTTATGGACAGACAGACAGACAGACAGACTTAGGCTTTTATAATATTAGATTCGGCCATAAGGAACCAACATTTTTGGCAGCCATGCCACAAATTAGCGCCACATACTTCCTGAGTGCCATTCCAATCATCTTCCCCTACCCAATCAGCTATTCTGTTTTTGTACTCCCTGCCCTAGCTCCCTGCCAGATCTGCTGCTTTGCTCTCTGCTTCCTGTGCAATCTCCTGTTCTCTTTTCTGCTCCCTGCTGTCTCTGCCACTGTGCTTGCCTGTCCTCTTCCAAGTCTCCCTTGTGCCAGATACAGATGCTGCCTGTGCCATTTTTGGTACGTATGCTGCAGATTGACTACCCTTGAGTTGGACCATTGAAGTGGGGTAGGATGAAGCCCAGTGCTTTTCCTGTATCCTTTTTTACTGTTTCTTCAGATTAAGCTATTCTGATTTTCATGTTCAGTTTTCATTCTTGCTTTTAGCAAGAAGCACCTTTCAGCAGTGTAAAGCTGCAACACTGTAAACCTCCTTAATAATTGTTGTGTATGTATTTTTTAGGCCTGTCATTATCAAGTCCTTTCATAGGGATGTGGTAAAAACATTTAAGAGCACTGTATTACAAGAGACTTCCCTTAATTTAACTCAGATGGACTGCAACAATGCTACCATACCAATGGTATGCAGAGCAATAATATGTTTTTCAGGATTTTATTTTCTTGGGATTTGCAGATACTTTAGAGTTTTAGAACATGAGTTTAAGGGTAGAGAAGACTTCTAAAATCTTTCAGATAAAAAAATATCATCAGATTCCCCCCCCAAATATTTTTATTGAATCACTTATGTTCAACATTACATTCTTGGTTGTATGCTTGTGTGAATGTCTTACTAGGATAATTTAAAAAAGCGTACATAGACACCAGTTCTGAGAACACAACAATGATTAGTACATTATAGCCTGTGACCGTGCTTCAGCTGCTGTTTGTAGTAGTGGTTTCCAAAAGCACCTTTCTTCTTTTTTGGTTTTCCCCTTCCATGGGGGGCAAATAAACTAAAGCAGAACTCTCTCTTTTCTAACCACTTCTGATTTGCTTTTAAGAGCAAAGAGTTGGTGATAAAGGTTATTGTGGAATAATCATTTTGAGCCAGGATTGAACAGCAGGCATAATACTAAAGGATTTTATTCAACAATACACTAAAGTTGGTCACCCTATGAATCTCTTGGTGAGGGTAATATAAATGAGTGCATATGTAGATAGTTATATGGCAACTCAACTCAATTATAAATTTTGTTTGTTACATTTTATAGTGTGATGTCAAATCTTGTAATGCTTTAACATAATTTATACTGGACAAATAATACTTATGTAGTGAGGGGGGGAGAGAATGAGCATTAAAATGTAGCTGATCTTTAAACTTCTAAAAGATCTCCAACACAAAAAATAGCATTCATTTGTTGATCTGAGGGAATGGACAGAGTACTTGGTATGTTTGCAAGTAAATGGGCAGTTCCCTTAACAATGCTGTATTTAGTTGGAAGAATTCTAATTAGGCTTTTGAACAGTTTCAGTGCAGCTGAAGTGGAATTTTCCATCAGGTGGGAGTACGGTTAAGGTTGCTGTGACCGTACTGAAATGAATTGCACAATATGAGTAGGATTAAATGCTACAAGGGCAAATCTCAGTCTCCCTCTAGTACACAT